TTGAAAGAGCCTGTGTTGGGTTCAAAGAAGGCCTGGGATCATGGATCGTCGTGCCCAGGGACTTGGATCAGAATCAGACGAACAGTCCAGGAACTCTGGGAGAGGCCATGGATGTGTGGAAATTCCAAATTCATAGAAGACATTCAAGGGTGGAAAAGGAACAGCGTTTAGATGGAAAAACCAGAGGTTTAGGGAGACAGCCAAATGTCAGCACCAAGGGGAGATAGAAAGTGAGGAAGGGGGACAGGAATGGCTTGCTTTCCCGGGGAGCAGACTCCCTTGTCCCCCCGAGACAAGCCACCCCTTGGACACACTGACCCTTCGTGGCCTGGCCAGGATGCTCAGGACACTCAGACTCCTGCGTGGAGAGAGGGAGGTTTCAGAGAAGATGCATGGTGAGGGCCAGGGATTTGCAAGTAGCACCGTTTCTGTGTGGGCGTGTGCCCCTTCCAGAACATGTGGCTGGAAATTTAACACTTGCTAGCGAAAAGTTTCCTTGCAAAGTTGCTGGCTATCCTTTGTCTAGAGATGCTAAATAAAGCATCTCGTGGAAATGGTGGAATGTTAAAAGATTTCACCAAGCCCTAATATTAAAAGATTTTACCGAGCCCTAAGAGTTGATGTATAAATATATTAGTAGCGTCTTATCTAAGTACATTTTAGGTGAACAGAAATACAAAAAAAAATCTGAAGGAGGATTTTTTACTCACATGCTACGTGGAAGGATAAAATCTGTCTTCTGTGTCTGTCAGAAGGCTTTTGTTTTTGGAATAGGTTGTTGGAATAGGTTGGCTAGAAGGCCATTTCACACAAACGAACACACATTCTGTGAGATGGAAAACGGAAGCCTATCCTAAATAAATACTGAAATTGCTGGAAGCCTTCCAGGTGCTTAAATTTCCACCGTAGGAAAGGAAATATTCTGGCAAATACTAGAAGGTATCCAACTAAGAGACAAAATATTTCCCCGCTTTCTTGGTCAGACTTCATGTTAAAGACAACAGAATGTCTCTGGTTTTCTCCCTCTCGTTCAGAGGTGGTAAGGAAGGTTCACAGAGCCCCGGGCCTCAGAGGACTCACTCATGAGGACGTGTGTTGGGAAGTTCTGAGGGGAAACTACCCACAGCTGGAGACAAGTGGCCATCACTCTAGACCATACCACAAGCTATTTTGTCTTTTCTGACAAAATCCTTGCAGATCCTTCTACATCCCAGCATTGACCTAGAGAATGACATTCTGCAGTTCCTGTGCCTCTGGGTTTCTGTGTCTAAGGCTGGGCAATCACCTTATTGTGTTCCAGCTGGAATAATAATTTTGATGTTATTCAAATAAGGGATTCAATAGGTGTTTCTCAAGAAAAAAGGATGCAAATGGGCAATGTTCTGCATCATCCATCATTAGGGAAATGCAAATCAAAACCACAGTAAGGTGGCACCGCACACCCACAAGCATGGCTAGGAAAAAAAAAAAAACAGACAACAGCAAGTGTTGATGAGGATGTGGAGAAATTGGAACCCTCACACATGGCCGGGGGGATGGACGATGGTGCAGCTGCTTTGGAAAACAGTCTGGCCACTCCTCAAATGGCTAAACTATAGAGCAACCCCATGACCCAGCAATTCCGCTCCAAGGTACAGACCCGAGAGAAATGAACTCTGAGGTCTGTGTGGAAACTTGGGCACAAATTTCACAGCAGCTTTATTCACACTAGCCCCAAAGCGGACACAGCCCCAATGTTCACAAGCCGGTGAATGAATGCACGGAATGGGGCCTGTCCTGCCGTGGAGGATTGTTCCTCAGTGTAAAAGGAGGTAACGCTGCCCCATGCTACAGCAAGCAGCGCATTTGGAGACATTGAGGGAAAGAAACTGGTCCCAGAGGGACCCCTGTCACATGTCAGCCCAGGCACATTCATAAAGTGGATTCGCCCCGTGTTTGCTGGGAGCCAGAGTTGGGTGGGGGAAAGATGGGGTCCATTGCTTTTGGGGGCGGCAGATGAGTTCAGAATTGCATGGGATGGCTGCAGCTGTAGACTTGCAGCAAGCAGGAAGGAAGGCACACACCAAGCTCACTTGAATTCCAGTCCCCTGTAAGCAGGTGAGTGCAGGGTGGCGGGAGGGCTCAGTGGAGCTGGCTGCTTTAGTGGGCTGTGACTTAATTCTACGTCATAACCAGTGAAGGAAAGAGGTTGAGCGGATGTTAATAATGCATTATTTTATGCTGTGCCCGTTGAGTCATATTTTAATTAGGGGAATATACATCTCTAATTACTGCTGTCGCGTGCCCGAGGCTGCAGTGTTTGGCTCGGTCTCGTTGAGCACAGAAATAGTTGTTCTTTAATCGGGTCAATACGGCAATTACTGCTGACAGATGGATGTGCCTCCTGTTCAGCACTGAGGTCATCCTGACCCCCTGGGCTTCTCAAACTGTAGGTGGGAGATTAAAACCACTCAGTGTTTCTCCAGATTGAGCCCTGCCAATGGGTCATACTAAACATGTAACTTTATTTATTTATTTATCTATTTATTTATTTTAATGGTTGGAGACATATTGTTGCCTGTCATTTGAACAATATCTTCACCAGTAAAACATACAGAGAATCAGAACCCATTCTGGGTATTTTGAGCAAAAAAGATTACAAAGTTGTTGGAAAGTCTAAAGATGCAAACAGCGAAGTTTTTACTTGAGATCAGGAGCAGTAGGAAGGTCGCCGCCACTCAAAAAGCTGCTACCACCGTTGCCAGAGCCAGAAGGGACACTGAATGGCGGTGACCTTTCTTCTTTATAACGCACCGCGCCAGCTTCTCCCTCTCTGGTAATGAAGTGTTGTTTACTGACCAGCTTCTTAAAAGAGATGGTGCTATGGGGTCCATTTTTATTTCTTTTCAATAGAAAAATTATGCTGTTATAAAAAAAAAAAAAGCATGAACACTGCAGATATTCCAGTAATTATTTGACAGGTCCGGCTGGGCCTGGGCTCGGCGGCAGAGAATACACGTCCTCCCAGAAGTCGGTCTTCTGGGGAGGTAAGACTTAGACACAAGGAGGAAAGGGTAGAATGTGGTAGTATGGTAAACGGGAGGGACATGGAGCTGAGCGTGCCAAGAACTGGATCAAGCTGTGGCCCGTGAGCTGGGCCCTGGACGTGAAGAGTCAGAACAAGGGGACGGGGCGGGAAGCGTGGGCAGAGCGCGGAGCTGCCTGTGGGTAATGGGAGGAGCAGGCGGGTGCATATGGCTGACGCGCAGAAATATGGCCCACGTGGGCCTACAAGAGCTCGCCTGACGTAGAAGGCTGGGGTTCCCCTGGAGGTTGGGGGAACAACTCAGTGGGAGGGTTCCTTTTGGACAGATGCGCCTGTGCTGGGAGTGAGCTGGGAGGTTGTGGAGGTTGGTAACCAGCTAGGCAGCCGTGGCCACCTTCCCGGCCTGAGGCCGGGAGAGACTGGACCAAGGGGCCGGGGTGGACTCGACACACACACACACACATGCACGCGCGCACCTGATGACCGCAGAAGTCAGTCCATAAGCACGTGTTTCAGAGTGTGTGTCCAACAGAATGAAATGACCGTTCCCAGCAGTGAGGGGACGTGGAAACGTACTGTGACCGCTCCACGGAGTAGACGAGGCTGGCCAGGGAGGGCGAAGTGAGAGAACGTCTCCCGGTGACTTCGCTGGGGAGCGAGGGGTGGGATTCCGAGCCCTGCCAAATACACCTGGCGTGACGGCGGCGCTTCGGGCAGGAGGGAGAGCTCTGGAAGGAAGAGGGAGGCGTCAGAGGGGGGCGGGGAAAAGGAATTCAACTTGAGCACATTTTGAGGATAGAAGGATGTGGAATGTTTGAAAGTGTGTCTATGCATAAATGTGTTTGTGTGCACATGTATCCATACGTGTAGGTGCGCACACACGTGCAGCCGTGTGGTTATAGCACAGGTGTACATATACCCCTGCGCGCACATGTGTGGGTGAGGTGTTTGTGCATGTGGGTATGATGTGTGCGCGTGTGTGCATAATGTCACCTAAATATTTTACATCCTTCTCAATTCAGAGTACGCTGAGCTGAATTAATCCCCCCGGGCCCCATCAGAAATGTCCTCCTCCCCCTTTACAAATGTGTACGTATATCCACACACACACACACACACACACGTGCTGAGAAGTGTGTGTGTGTGTGTGTGTGTGTGTGTTGTAAATGCACCACTGGAGCTTGGAGAAGCAATTGTAACCTAAAATTTAGAACTGGGAGGATTCCACCCGGAGGATACATTGGAATCTGTTAGGAAGGGTGACTTCATGAGAGGGAGACCAGGCACCCATGCCACGCGCAGTCCCAGATGGGCCAGCAGGGGGACAGGAGGGTGGCCAGAACAGGGATGGAGATGTAGGGGAGGGAATTCTTTCTTTCAAGGGCAAGTGCTCGGGCAGAGCTCAGCTGGGCTGCGGAGCCCGACGGGTATCACCTGAATGGTGGTCAGTGTTGTTGTGTGCTGTTTATCGTGTACCTGTGCTGTGGCGGGCACTGAGTGCGGGCATGGGACATCCAGAAATCTCAGGCCAGGTACCAGTGCTCAGAGTCCCGGGCAGAGAGCTCGCGCAGGCCGCTAGCATCACGCAGCGTGGTGAGCTACGCAGCGCTTCGGCTTCAGCGAGCGGACTTTGAAACTTACAAGCGAGAGGGCTTTGAAACTTACAAGCCAAACAGGACCTCCTGTCACTTTGGTAAAGGACACCTCAGCCCGGGTTTCGTTGGTGGATCGTGCTTTGGGCGTTGTGTCTAACACCCACTGCAAACCCAAGATGATGCCAGTGTTCCCTCCTGCGTTTTCCTCAAGAAGTTTTGTCGTTTGACATTGGACGTTGTGGTCTGTGTCTGTTTCGAGTTGGCTCTCGTGTGAAGTATCTGAGCTCAGGGTTTGCGTATAGACACCCCGAGCTTCCAGCTGCAGATGTTGAAAAGAAAACCCATTCTCTGTCGCGTTACCTTTGTGAAAAGTCAGTTGGGTGTTGGCTTCGGCAGCACATATACCAAAATTGGAACGATACAGAGATTAGCATGAACCCTGCACCAGGATGACGCGCATGTTCGTGAAGCATTCCATATTTTTGTAAAAAATATACATTAAAAAAAAAGATGTTAGAAGAACAGTCACCCAAAAAAAAGTCAGTTGACTGAATTTACGTGGGCCTGTTTCTGGGCTGTCTCTTCCACTCCCCCAGCCTGTGCGTCTGTCCCTTTGTCAAAGCCTCGCCGCCTTGGTTACGTGGCTTCACAACGTCCTGAATGGGGCGCGTCAGTCCTGCAACTTTGCGCCTTCGCAGAATGGTCTCGGCCATTCTGGTTCCTTTGCCTTTTCGAGGAGAACTTCAGAGTTAGAACTGTAGAAAGCTACAAAAAGGCTTGCCAGGATGTCAACTTGATTGCTCAGACTACAGCTCAAATCAGAGAGCATTCATCTGTGGCTTAGAGCATTGGTTTGCTGCTCCCTAGAAGGCCAGGAATCAGCAGAGGCCAAGCCGAGACAGTCCGGACAGTGAAACGTCAGTTAACTGAGAAAAGGGGCCGGCGTGTGCTGGGGCTGGGAGCGAGGAGGGGGGAGCCTCAGGCTTGGGGCTGAATGAGAGAAGCGAAGATGAAGCCATGTGAGGATGGGGCCTGCAGTGGGGGCGGGCACGCCCGAAGATGGGCCTTGGTCCTGGTGTGCGAGGCTGGTCTGGGGGAGGGGCAACATCGACGCATCTAATAAAGGCCGAGGCTACAAGAGCGGGGTCGGGAAGCCAAGCAGATGGGCCTGACATCATTTTTCATCATTTCCTCTCCCTGGGGCAAGGGAGAGGCAGGAGAGCCTGGGCCTCCCTCCAAAGCCAAGCTTAGGAGGACCCTAACTCTGGGGATCGCCCCACTTTTCTTTTGTGGGCACCTGGAAAACCTGTGTGCCTGGGCCATCACGGGGGACCTGCTGCTCCTGTGAAGAGGGGTGTCGCTGGAAGTATGCCTGAGCTGGAGGAATTCACTTCTCCCCCTTGAACGGAGACGTGCTCTCTCGGAGGATTAATACTCAGTGCCACGGAGCACAAGTCATTTCTTCGGTTGGCCTCTCAGAGATGGATGGTTTTTTGATGACCTTTCGTGTGTTCCAGATTGGTCTGCCAGCCCGCGTCTATTGCAGCTGTAGGGCTGTCCTTTAGCGGAGACAAAGGTGACAGGGACAGCCTCTGAGGAAAAGTGATGTGAAATGATTGCGTGCACCCCGAGTCAGGTCTCGGGGGATCAGGGCATCCGTGTCGCCTTTCAGTGTTCTTTTCCCTTTTCATTACCTGCGATTGGAAACGTACAGAGAACCACGGGAGGGTGTCCCCTCTGGCGAGCTCCTCCGTCCACCAGCATAACTGCGTTTCCGCATTCGGTCAAGTGCTCCGGCGGGAGGGAGAGGCCACGCTCCATCGCGGGTCTGGAGGAAGAGTTAAGGGCCTGCAATTATTATTATTTTTTTAATCAAAGCATCTCATCCCAACTTCATGACCAGAGGGAGGATGTTTATTAGACGCTGGCCCCATAAATACCTTCTAATCAGTTTTTAGGCCAGTTGGGAGGAGGCTGGCTTTAAAAGAATTGAGAAACAGGCAGGCGGCTGGGAAGGAGGGAACCATTAAATCTCCGACACTGTTGCTAAGAGCCGCCTTGCTCTTTCCTCCTCCTCTCCCTCCGCTGCTTTTAAGAAGCAGAAGCTTAAAAGCCTCCATTGTGCAGAGGGGAGACATATGCTAATGTGAGGCACATTTCGCCTCGCAGGCTTTCTGGGACTGTCATAGCTGAGATATGAATGATGATAAAGAGGGCAGCGGGCTCGGAGGGCCGGGGCTTGGCATTGTGCGGGCGAGAAAGGCTGAATGGGGTGGCAGCTCCGGTCACCCGTGAAGCCCCTCGGGCCTGCCGGCCGCCCCGAGTTGAGTGGGTTCTCACGGGCTTGCTCTGCCGCTCCCCCCACCCCAGGCGCTGCCTCTTGTCATCTTGCTACACAGCCCCTTTCTAGAGGGGCACAGGCGCCCCCTTAGCTGGAAGGAGGTGGACTTTAAATTATTCAGTGCGTCAGTGCGGGGAAGCACTGCGGGGCTGGGGGGGCTCCCACCTCCTAGACACACCCTAGCCCAGCAAAAAAGAAACCCGAGCTTGGCGGCAGCAAAGACTTGATGGCGCTGGGTGGGCCGGGACGCAGAAATCACCACGCTTGTACTTTCCAGGCCCTTCTGATCAGAGCTGAATACAGCTTGGGTTGTGATTCTTTTTGTCAAGGCTTCAGCTTAGCACCTGGCTCTCTCCCGGGATAACTGACGAGATGCACAGCTACATTTTTAATGCAGGAAACTTTGATTTTTCCGTGGCGAGCAGAGCCAGGATGTCAGTGCACTGGGAAGAGGGTATTGGCCACACACCCTAGGGCCACCGTTAGGGACAAGGTGCTTCCTTTCTGCCCTGAGTGGCCGCCTCTTCTCCAGGGCACTGATTTCCCCCCAGTGGAGTTCATTGAACTCAGTTAAGTTTCTTAAACTGTGCGAATTTTATAACTGAAGATGAACGCGTGCGTCACCGAACAGCCATGCAGACCTGCGACAGCGCTTCCGGCTGGAAATGCAGCAGGGCTGGCCGGAGGCAGCGTGGGCGTTTGCGTCAGTACACTGGCGGCGTGGGCTAGGTAGCTTGTGCCTGCCGCTTCTGTGCCCCCGTTTGAAGCCAGAAAGTGAATGCTACTTATTCCCAGCCGGGGGGTGCGGGGGGGTATTTGTAGACCGGGAGGGTAGGATGCTGTCCGTGTGCTGTGAGAATCTAGGACTTGCCGTGGTCTCTAATCTGCTTTTTAAATAATTAAACATTGCCCCTGTGCTTCCCTTCATGCTCAACTCTAAAAGCTAAAGCACCCTCCATCTTTGCACAATCCTTACACCCGTGGAACTCTATTGGAGAGAAACCAGGGTTCGAGCTCATTCTTCCACTGGCACAGAGAAGTCCCTCCCGGCCCTCGATGCGCAGTGAATCAGCGTCTTCCTCAAAGTGAAGTCGGGCTTGACTCCGCGGGTGTGGTGAGCGTGGTGTAGTGCTTACGCCAGCCTGGAAACAGCTACGGTTCACCTTTTGCTCTAATTACCATCACAGCAGGTCAAGGATAGAGTGTAGAAGCACATCCGCCACCTATTTTAGCGACTTCGTGCCAGCTGCTCCCGGCGGCAGGTCTCAGACACAGCTCACTGGAGCGCGTCACAGTGCTCTGGCTTCGCGCACGTTCTGTTGGTCCCTCCTGTTAACCTCCACAGGTGGCAGAAGAGCCGTAGATGCCATGTTATTCAGGGGCACATCTCACACATGTGGAGTCAGCCTTGGCTGGCCTGGCAGCCCAGCCCTGTCTGGCAGCGGCTGTGCACTTACCCGCATCGCTCTATGGTGTCTGGTGGAGCACCAGCTTTCCAAGAGGCCCATGCCAAGGGCTAGCTTTGATCCACACTGAGGTGTACTTCACGCTCACCTGAGTAGTTGGGAACTGCGCTCACCACTTTGCTACACACTCATTTCATCTAATAGTGTCCGACAGGTGCTGGACACAGAGGAGTTGAGTAGCTTTCTTCCTGGTAGAGCTGGGAAATTTTTTTTAATTGAGGTAACTGTATAATTTCTCACCTCACAACTGTAGATTCCCCCCACACACACACCCACCACCCAATGTCCAGTCACTCTCTACCACCCACTAATGGGTTCCCTCAACTCCTCCCTTCCCTAATCCTTCCCTTCTGGTGACCCCCATTCTATTATGTAAGGGTTTCTTTTTGTTTGTTTTATTTGTTCATTTGCTTTCTTTGTATTCCACAAATGAGTGTAGTCAAAGGTATTTGTCTTTCTCCTTCTGACTTATTTCAGCAAGCATCATCTACCCAGGTCCATCCATATTGTTGCAGGTGGCAGCTTTCATTTTTGAGGGCTGAGTAGTATTCCAGTTGCATAGATATACCACCTCTTCTTGATCCATTCATCCATTGTCAGGTACTTGGGTTGTTTCCTTATTGTGGCTATTGTGGATAGTGCTGCAGTGAACATAGGGGTGTATAGATCCCTTCAAATTACTGTTTGTATATTCTTTGGGTAAATAACCAGAAGTGGATTTCTGGATCATATGGTAGTTCTATTTTTAGGTTTTTGAGGCTGCACGAATGGTGTGCAAGAGCTCCGTTTTTTCCACAGCCTTGCCAACTTTTGTTCTTTCTGGGTTTTTGGATAACAGCCATTCTAACCCATATGAGGTAAACTCTTGTGGTTTGGATTTGCATTTTCCTAATGAGAAGTGATGTAGAACATCTTGTGTCTGTTGGGGAAAATCTTCCATTCCTGGTTTTTACAGCAGGTCTAGGACTCACAAAGAAACTGTAGAACTCTTGCCAGTATCATAGGGATACTGTTCCTTATGCCGCAAGTTCCCAATGAGATGCGGTTCCTGCAAAGCCTAGGAAGGGAGCCCCCCCGTGCCCCCTAGATGTTCTCCCTGTCAGGTTCACCATTGCTGTATCCTTACCCTGTGGATCCATCTGTGGCTGGCGGAAAGATCAGTTCCCTCTTGTCGGCCAGGATCAGCTGCTGGAGAATGAATGGGACGTGGAGCCCAAGGGTTCTGGCTGTCTGGTGAGATGCGCCGTGGTCCCAGGCGCCACAGGAGCAGGCTGAGCAACAGGAGAATGTTGGTTTCCCGCTACTCCCCTGGAGTCCCTCAGCACCTCGATCCACAGTGCCTGGCACTGTCCTGGCACGTGGCTGTGCTTGATGAGCATGTGTTAGGTAAACAAATGAGCTTTTCAGAGTTCCAGTGTTGAGAGCTGGTTTTTGGTGCTGCTAGCAGTAAATTACAGGTATTTAAGAAGGAAAGAACTGGCCTTCGTCACTTTGTTTCTGACAGTGAGCCTTCATATTTATTTTAATTGAGAAATCATAACTGATCTGGATATTTGGTGAGTGAGGAAGAGAAGGACAAAGATAAAGGAGAGGAAATGTTCTGGCTGAAACATTCAAAAGTTAGAATTTTAGGCAAAGGCTTTACGTTAAGAACAGTTAGGTCCCCCTAGCTGAGAT